CTCCCCTCCCCCCCTTCCCTTCCCTTCCCTTTTCTTTTCTTTTTCCTTTTGGTGCCAAAACCCAGGAGCAAACATAACTTGCCCTTTTAACTAAGTGTATATAGCATTTCATTTGGATATCAGATTGTGAATGTTCCATACAGCTCATACAGTTCCATACAGCAGTAGGATGTGCCCAAACTGTCAAACAGAATGAATTGTAAGAGATGAGATGTTTGCTTGCTAAATAATGCAGAGAATAAAGGCATTTCTTTCTCTGAATAATTACTGTCAACTGGGACAGTGGAAATAGAATATGCAATCACATTTCTTTATGGATGGCAGATAAACATGGAGGTAGGGCGCCTGGGTGGCTCAGATGGTTGAGCGTCTGCCTTCAGCTCAGGTCATGGTCCCAGGGTCCTGGGATCGAGTCCCGCATCGGGCTCTCTGCTCCTTGGGAGCCTGCTTCTCCCTCTGCCTCTCTCTCTCTCTCTCTCTGTCTCTCATGAATAAATAAAAAAAACAAAAAAAACAAAAAAAAAACATGGAGGTAATATTCTCTTTACAAACACAACTGGTAGGACTCGAGACTGGTAAAGAAAGAAACCCCCCAAATAAACACAGGCGTCTGTTACATCTAGTTAGCCAGGTAAGCAGCCTGGCTCACCTGAGCCACTTATTAACTGAACATTCCCCTCCAGGTGACCCAGTGGGATGTAGTGGGTCTTCTTTGTAAGAGCAGCTCAAGAGGCTAAAGTTGACAAGCTTGTGTCAGAAGTCGAAGTCTCTCTCACTTGGAGGATATTTGAAATTATGAGGACAGATGCATTTTCCCCCAGCTGACACTGCCCCCTAGCCTGGAATCTGAAGCTGCACCCACCATATGCAATACCTGCCATGTCATTCCCTGTCATTCCACTGAACCTCATAGACCCTTGTGAGCACTTAACATATGTGAGCTATTAAAAAATAAAACAGTGATATTTTAGAAAGATGAGTAAAGGAAATGTGTAGGTTTCTAAATTTTAAAAAAATTCTTTCTCTGCAAAACATTTACAATGTTACTTTTCATCAAAGCAGCCTCTTGAGAATATGGAATAAACCTATATAAACTCATACATTAGGAGTATCATTAACACTCAGATCACATTTTTCTAGACTATTTTTTTTGTTTATCACAAAACACATTTGCAAAGACAGTCTCAAATTCCTTCAATAATTAGATCAAAATAGAAATTATATCGCAATAGAAAAGTGCAATTTAGAAGTATTTTGATTTTATTTTAAAGCTCCTCATTTTTCCTTCCTTAGCAGATTTCTCCCTTCTCCCTCAGTCTACTTTTTTTCTTCATTTTTCTGAGTAATTTTCAGATACTTCACTACAAAGATCCCTGTTTGGTTCAGTCATTTTACTTTTCTTTCTTTCTTTCTTTTTTTTTTAATCATTTTACTTTTCTTTTCTCCTTTACTTGGCTGTAGAATCCTGGCCAGTCCTTCTTTGAAGTCAATGTTATCTTGAATCACAATATATAAAGAGAGTCATGCATCACTCATGGGTGTATGGCTTCATGAATTTTCATTTGGTGAACATGCCCAGGTAACCAGCAGCTTCGTAAAGAAGTGAAATATTAAGAAGCCCCTTCCTCAGTTTACCCTAATCATCACAAAAGATTTTGGCATATATAGCTACAGATTCTTTTGGTATTTTTTTCTGTACTTTATATAAAAGGACTCACCCAGTGTGTTCTCTTCTGCATCTGCCCACTTTCATTCATTGTTGTATTTCTGATAACCATTTATCCTGCTGCTTTCAGCAACAGCTACCCACTTTTACTCCTCTAAAATCATCTGCTGTGTGAATATATCCTCATTTATTTATTTACTCTACAATGGAGGAACACTTGAGTTGTCTCCACTCTTTGGTTATTGAATTACGCTGTTACAATTATGTGAATTATTTCGGTGATACTGTTATAAACCATCTTGGGCCTTTTTTGGCCACATGTGTATGCAAGTATTTCCATGGGGCTATTTTCGTGGGGCGTGAACTGAGCCCTGAAATGCCAGCATCACAGGTACCTTCAGCCTGAATAGATATAGCCAAACCTTTCTCAGAGTGGTTACACTCCCGCCACAGACTTTGGTTTCTGCACCCTCACCAACACCCAGCATAATCAGTGTTGGCTGTTGTGTTAGTAGTTTTCACAGATGCTAGCCATTCCGGTGGTTGTGGTATCCCACTGTGGTTTTAGCTCACGCCTTCCTGCTGACTGATGATGGTGACCAGTATGTGTGTGTGGCTCACTTGGCCATCTCATCTCATGAGGCACCCTTTCAGTAATATTGACATTTAAAAATAAATGGGTTGTTTTATTTTTCTTCTTGATACGTAGGGATTTTTATATATTCAGGATATTCTTTCTTTCTTGGATCTAC